CCAGACAGAAGGCACTGCCTGTGGAGACAGAGCTCCCCACTGCTGGAGACACTGGAGCATTGTTTGGGGGTTCAGGAGCTGGAAAGGAGAGTGGACTAACAAAATCCCTTCTGGACCAGATGCCTTTTTAGGTTCCTTCCCACCCTCTCGGATTCATCATCTGTGAAAGTCATTTTCCAAATTCAGAGGAGAAAGAATCACCTTTACCCTCACCGTGTTTCCGTCCAGCAACCAAACAGGACACTGCAGAGAGGAGCTTGTCCCCAGAGCCGGCTTCTGCCCTTTCCACAAGCTGAGGGAAGCTGACTCCAGCACCTTGCGTGAACATCTCAGCTGGGAAGTGTCCTGAGCCTCCATCTTCCGCAGCAGGACCATTGGCAGTCTCTTTTGCCCTTATGATCTTGCATTTGGGAGTGGTAACCCAATACCTTACAAAAGCTTAGCAATCGAATGCAATATAAACTATGAGCCAGCACACGTTCCCTGCCCGCGACGCTTTGCTGAGAAAGCTGGCCCGAGTGCTCTAAGCACCTCACAACGTCCACATTGTATTGTGGAATTATTTTTAATGAAGCTGTTATTATGCTACAAGAATGCAATAAAATATCTGAAACCTGAAATTTCCTATTTTTATCGCCTCCTGAAAAAAAAATTCCAAAAAATAAAAAGATTTGTTCCCAAATGTATACAGGAATAATTGGATAGAGAGTTTCCATGCCAACTTTCCATTTGCCATGAAATCTAGAGAGTGTTGCTTCATAAACCAAAAATATGAGGAAAGGGTGAAATATCATGGAACATTAATATAATCAAGTATAATGTACCTTAGAAGGAACCACTGATTTACCATCTCCCAGTGCAGATCAGCACAGGGACCTCTTTATATGACAAAGTGTGCGCAAGTAGCCAGGTTTTACCTGAGTCTCAAATAGTTCTAGATAGAAAAGCTGTCTGTGAAATTCTGCACATTCACTCTGAATGTGAAGAGCTGATTTTATACTGGTCAATCCAGAAGCACAATGCTATTCTGAGTGGTTCAGAGAGACAATCGACCAGCGCCCTCAGATTTCTCTTCCCAACACTAATCTTAGCTGCCCCTTGCTGTAAACTGGTGAAACTGTTATGTAAAGACGCACAACCACAAGTGCTGAGCAAATGTGCTTAGGTACACACATGACTGCGCACAGTCTGTATGCCACGGTATGCGCTTAGGCACACACATGACTGCACACAGTCTGTATGCCACGGTATGTGCTTAGGCACACACATGACTGCACACAGTCTGTATGCCACGGTGTGTGCTTAGGCACACACATGACTGCACACAGTCTGTATGCCATGATATGTGCTTAGGCACACACATGACTGCACACAGTCTGTATGCCATGGTATGTGCTTAGGCACACACATGACTGCACACAGTCTGTATGCCATGGTATGTGCTTAGGCACACACACGACTGCGCACAGTCTGTATGCCTTGGTGTGTGCTTAGGCACACACATGACTGCACACAGTCTGTATGCCACGGTATGTGCTTAGGCACACACATGACTGCACACAGTCTGTATGCCACGGTATGCGCTTAGGCACACACATGACTGCACACAGTCTGTATGCCACGGTATGTGCTTAGGCACACACATGACTGCACACAGTCTGTATGCCACGGTGTGTGCTTAGGCACACACATGACTGCACACAGTCTGTATGCCATGGTATGTGCTTAGGCACACACATGACTGCACACAGTCTGTATGCCACGGTGTGTGCTTAGGCACACACATGACTGCACACAGTCTGTATGCCATGGTATGTGCTTAGGCACACACATGACTGCACACAGTCTGTATGCCATGGTATGTGCTTAGGCACACACATGACTGCACACAGTCTGTATGCCATGGTGTGTGCTTAGGCACACACATGACTGCACACAGTCTGTATGCCATGGTATGTGCTTAGGCACACACATGACTGCGCACAGTCTGTATGCCTTGGTGTGTGCTTAGGCACACACATGACTGCACACAGTCTGTATGCCACGGTATGTGCTTAGGCACACACATGACTGCACACAGTCTGTATGCCATGGTATGTGCTTAGGCACACATTTGACTGCACACAGTCTGTATGCCATGGTATGTGCTTAGGCACACACATGACTGCACACAGTCTGTATGCCATGGTATGTGCTTAGGCACACATTTGACTGCACACAGTCTGTATGCCATGGTATGTGCTTAGGCACACACATGACTGCACACAGTCTGTATGCCATGGTATGTGCTTAGGCACACACATGACTGCACACAGTATGCCACGGTATGTGCTTAGGCACACACATGACTGCACACAGTCTGTATTTGCCATGGTATGTGCTTAGGCACACACATGACTGCACACAGTCTGTATTTGCCATGGTATGTGCTTAGGCACACACATGACTGCACACAGTCTGTATTTGCCATGGTATGTGCTTAGGCACACACATGACTGTGCACAGTCTGGATGTGCTCTAAGAGCCTCTGTGAGATGACTGGGTCATTACTGCATCCTTAGAGGTGCGACTGTACAATAAGGTCATGCCTGTGCTATGATTTTATGTTTCATTTTCAAACTCACACATTTCTTCAAACCATCCTCAAACTCAGAGACAGCTGCAATCCAAATCCACTTTTTCATTCTACAGATGTCTTTTCCAGAACATTTGTTTCAGCCAAAAGATTCAAGGAAAGCTTTCCCATGAGCAACCTCCAACATAAAGTACAGCATGCCTGCCTGCCATCTGGCTCTACAAGCAGAAGGTGTTTTCTGTATGAACATACACTGTCCTTAGACTAGACTTACAACCTTTCTAAGGATGCTCCCAGTCTCCTCTTTCCAAGCAGATGACTTTGCAGATGGGCTAGCAACAAGAGGTGAAAGGTTTGGAGTCTTTTTTTTTTAATAATTTTTTTAAAAGATCTATTATTTATTATGTATACAGCATGTATGACTGCAGGCCAGAAGAGGGCACCAGATCTCATTATGGATGGTTGTGAGCCACCATGTGGTTGCTGGGAATTGAACTCAGGACCTCTGTCAGTGCAGTCAGTGCTCTTAACCTCTGATCCATCTCTCCAGCCCAAGGTTTGGAGTCTTACTGTGTGTGCTTCAGTAGTTGGAATCACTCAAGAGTACCACTGCCCTTGGAAAATCAACCCAGTATTTGGTTTTTGCTATGTGACAACTGAGTTCTTTTTCCAACAGTCTAAGAAACTCCATCTAACAGAAGCAGCCTAGGTTTCAGCAAGTGTTGCAGATTGGTTGTTGAAAAGCCCAACACTTACAGGTTGATCTAGAACTGGGTCATTTTCCACCCCTTGGTAACAAGTTCTAGCCACAGAAGTCTATGCTAGCATTCTAAATATAGCCACATTGTATGGGGTGGGGGGACATAAAAAAAAGACATCAGTGAGATGCTCTAATGCCTTGACTGTGTACATTCATAAAAATGAGAAATGGGTGTAGATTTCAGTCCTGGTGCTGACTTTCCTTTTTTATCATCTTTGGTGGCCATCAGAACAATACCTGGTACGCTGACAGAAAGAATCAAGGCTGTGCAGCCTGAGATCTACTTGCTGCAACCACTGTGGAAATTTTCTGTTGATAGTTTTGAGACACTTAAGCCACATGTGAAGGGAGAGATTCTTAAGGAAACCTGTCCTTGGTCTTTGTTGGGTAGCAAATGGTGAAATGGGTACCCATGAGGAAGTAAATCATACTATGATCTTTACCACACAACCCAGCAGAAGCTGAGGCCATCCTGATGCCACCTCACCAGCAGAGAATTGACCTTCAAGTTCTGAGAGGTACGATGAAACTATGCAACCAAGTCAGGATTCTCAACTTGGGATACAACTGTCCTCTTACGGACTGACTAGCAATAACAGCCCATCAGCGTTGTCTGTATGTTCAGGGTGGGTCCAAAGTGTGAGCGATCTGGCCCTCTGTCCTGGGAGCTTGTGACTTCACCGTGGTGCACACTCTCTGGGCAAGAAGAGCACCTGGGGTGCACGTGTGGATGTACTCATGTGCCAGAGTGCACATGTGCGGACTGGCTGGCCACAGGGCAAGCCGGGCAAGCTCTTCCACTTGTCTCCGCCTTGGTGTTCCCGTAAAGCAAGCTCTTGTCTATGATGTTGTTGGGAGGACTTAATACGTCACCATTTACTACAGAAAATATTTAGAAAGAAGGTATGTTTCAGCCCCTGACCTCTACAACTGCCACTCCTGGGAGAGAAAGCTCCCTATGGACTTAAAATATAATTCAAAAGGCTGTGTCTGAAACAGCTGGATGAGTTCACTGCTCATACACTTCCCCACCTCCCAAGATGCTTTCAACTCTGCCTCACTGTCCTAGCTCTGCATGACACTGTTTGCACCCTTCCCCAGAGGCTTGGGGTTAAGCTTGTAGAGAAAGAATGTATACTTAATTGACTAACACTGTGCCTATCAGCCCAGGGCCGCATGAAATTTTAGTTGTAGGAAGAGTTTCCAAGTCCTTCTTGCAAAATGGTAGTTCACCTCACTCCTTGAAGGGATTACTACAAGCCTCAGGTATACCAGTTAGATATGTGGATTTCACTCAAAAGGGCAATTCCTGTGGCCAGTGTGTTTCATAGCTTCCAATGTCCTTTATTTTATATCACAATTCAAATACAATGAGAACCATTTTGTTTCTTTTTTGTCATTTATATTTTTGTTCATAATAATGGAAAAATACCTCATAGCTTCCAGCTGGGCACTCTGTAGCAGTTAAAACAATAGTGTTACCTCCTCAGACTAATCAGTTTTGGCCGTCTCTCCCTGAAGCTGTATCTTCTTTACTGCTGGGTTTGAGAAGCAGCTTTTGTGAGTGGCCCTGGTGCATGTTTCACCCTTCTCGCCACTAGGGGGAGCGAAGGCGGCTATCAGTGACCCCAGCTGAGATAAGGGGGAGAGGGAAGGTGGAAGAGAATGAAGAGACAGCCCACAGGAATGACGGAGGCAGGAGAGCTTTGCTGGACCCTGGGGCTCTTTAAGGAGTTCAACCTGATGATGATGCAGTTGTCTGGTAAAGAAATCACAGCCTGGAGGACGCCTGCCCTAGGGAGACGTGCGCTCCCTTTTCCTGAGATAAGCAAGGGGTGTCTTCTGCTCTTCCCTCACCTCTAAGGGATGATGAATGCACCGAGGTCAAGGTGTGTGTGGTGTGTATGGCGTGTCTGTGTGTGGCGTGTCTATGTGTGGTATGGCGTGTGTGGTATGACACACCTTGTGTGGCCTGTGGGGCCTGGGGTGTGGGGTGTCTGTAAAGTCTGTATGTCTGTATGTAGCTAGGTAGGGCACACTACCCAAGGGTCTCATGTACACTAAGCACATGCTATACTCCCTGCTACAGATTTCAGAGAAACAATCACCTTCAACATGTAACCCAATCGTACCCACGCATGCCTTGTTTTCCTATTTAATAAAATTGTCTCTTGTAACATGCATTCCCTCATAACTGTGGGAACGAGGTGTGTGTGTGTGTGTGTGTGTGTGTGTGTCCATAAGCCCCAGTGGCAGACCTGGGGAGAGGGCAGCACTGGATGTCCATGCTCAGACTCCACCAGCTCAGAGCTCTTCACCTAGAAGTTGCATCCCTGTCCTATTCTTTAGAAAGTGTGGCAAAAGTCACTGGTGACAGGGACTCAGACACCAACAGGAGTCAGTCCACTGAGGGCAGCAAGGTTCTTGTCACTTGGACTTAGGGGCAGTAATTGTCCCAGCCCAGGAGGATGCCTCCCACCAGGAGGAAAGAAGGGAGGGAAGCCCAAAGGAAATAACAGAGGCGTCTTACAGCACTCCAGGACGTAGAACTCTGGCATCAGTTACGTCCATTGTTAGGAGAGGGGCCATGGCCACTCCCCAGAACACCCATGTGAACTCGTACCTCAGACTCTTGTTTTCCAGAGTAACAGAACTCATAGTGATGGTTCCAGGACAAAGGGGGGAAACAGATTGGGACATGGGTCGTGGGGCTACAAAGGAATGCCAGGCCTGCAGCAGGTGAAGCCCCGGTCGCCCCAGTGGGCAGGACACATGTCACTGTCACAGCTTTCCCTGGTGACAAACTCAGAGGGGATGTGAGGGGGAGATGCCCCATAGATGTGACATCTCAAGCTTTCAGAGATTCAGGAAAGGCACCAATTATGAGGACAATGGAATTTGATGGCCCTGGCCTGAGTTGTTGATATTTAGAGAAAGACCATGTGAGGCCCTGGGCTATGAGTCATCATCGAAAGCTAAGTGTGGATGTTAGAGTCTCTTCCTGAGGCACCTAAGAGACTCCTCATCTCCAGGGGCAGAAAGGTAGAGATGCTGCGGGTAAGGTTCAGGACACAACTTTGTAAGAACAGTTCTGTTCTTGACTCCAGCTAACCTTCTGCAACAACGTCAAGGGTCCCGGGGAAAGGAGTGGGGCTTTGCAACTTACAGGTGGACAGAACATCATAATGAATGCTCTTACACTTTAAACCTTGCTTGGGGGCTTCTGGGTGTGCAGCAGAGGCTCTGCCCACAGCTTAAACACCACGTTTGAGTGTCGACATTGCAGGACAACACGAACCACCCATTGATCAACACTACCTCCCACTCCTATCACAGAACTAATTCATGTAAGAATAATACATGTCAGGGGGCTGTTTGGTGAAGAGAGATAAGGGATGGCCACTCCTTTGGTATTGCAGGAGAAGACCAAGATGTGCCATCTAAACCAAGATTGCTTGTACGGTAGGACTGGATGGAACATAAAATTGGAGAAGGGTGGGCATATTTACATGGGGCAGCCTAATGTGAGAGATGGCTTGCCATTCTGTGGGGGTTCAGGGGGGATGCCTTTATTATGGTGGTAGAATGACTCTTAGAATTCCAGAGAGAATTACAGCTCACTCTAAGGCAAAATGCCAGAACTGTTGTGATAGATGATAGAAGAGGATATAAGATAAATCTTGTTGCCTGAGACAGTGTTCTGACCCAGAAACACACTAATTAAAAGAGAGGTCAGGTCCTCAGCAAGGGAGTACAATAATGATGCTGGAATTCCTTTTCACGAGACCTGTGGTCATTTATCTAGGCAACTATAGACTGGAAATGCAGAATTTGTTAACATTTTTAGAAAGGCTGGATGTGTGATCTGATTGACCATTCATATCCAGAGAACTCCAGGCTGGTAGAGTTCCCTTATGGAGTGGAGTTTATATAACCAGAGAACCAGTGGATCCCTGGCTCTCATCTAGGTTACAGATGTCATCTGGGCCCACGGTCTCACCCAGAACTCATTGTCCTGTCTCCAAAACGCACAATTGGAATAGATGCTGTGATGGTTAGTTTAACTGCCAATTCAACATCTAGGAGGTAATTCTCCAGGCACATCTGTAGATGTAACCATCTTGTTAAATAAGAAACACAGAGCCAATGCAGAGATGAAAGCCCAAGAGGTCAGAGCTAAGAGCTAAAAACCTTACCCTTCACTGCCGCTGCTGTCCTCCTCAGCCTGAGAGCTACTCCCTGTCTGTTTGTCTTTTTTATAGACTTTCTGTTCTGCCTTCTCATTGGTTGTAAACCCAACCACATGACCTCCTCGTCACTGCCTGTCTGTACAGACCTCCAGGTCTTCTATGGTTGGTATTGAGATTAAAGGTGTGTGTCTCCATGCTGGCTGTATCCTTGAACACACAGAGATTTGCCTGGCTCTGCCTCCCAAGTGCTGGGATTAAAGGCGGGTACCACCACCGCCCAGTTTCTGCTATAGCTTGCTATTAGCTCTGACCCCCAGGCAACTTTATTTATTAACATACAAATAAAATCACATTTCAGTACAAATAAAATATCACCATACACGTCTGTGAAGAATTATCTAAAGTACTTGAGTATGTGTATGAGGGATTGTTACACACTTGGGAGGGTCAGAGATCTGTGCCATCTTTAAACCCCTAAAGGATATGAGCTTGGTGAGCCCCACCATTTCTCACTGACTGCACCCCTTTGGACTTGACAAAAGTCAGGCAGATATTAAAGGATAACACTGGACTATGTGAAACTCAGCCACACGGCAACTCAAGTCGAGGATGTTGTGCCAGGCAAGATACCTTTACCAGACCATATCAGGAGTCAAAATGGGTCACATTTACATAGAACAAAAATGTCCCCTGCCTATGAGGACCAGAGTTCACAATCCCGTTGATCACAGTACAATAAAAATGGACAGCGCATCACATTGGTCCACCATATCAGTGATGTCATATTAGTCAAAGAGGAGCAAAAAAAGGGAAGGACACTAGAGGCCCCATGAAGTATGTGCACCTCTGAGCATTTGCAATACACAGTAAGACCCAGAGACACGCCGTAGCAGAGAGGACTTTATGTGTGTGCGCTGTGATATTTCTTTTTCAATCATATTAATTATACAAAATAAAGAATTTCACTGTAACATTCCCACATGTTCATATACCTGTGCATCATGCTCACACAAAAACTACCCAGAGGACTCTCACCTGCATCTTAGAAAACTAATCAAATGCTGCATCTTAGAAAATCCTTTTTCTAGTCTCATCTTTTCTTAGAAAGTGAAGAGTTTTGAGAATCAGTGACCCAGAGAAGATAGGTCATTCTTTTTCCAAAGTAAAGGGCAAATTATCATTTTCTATTTCTAAGGAACAGAAACTGGGGATTCCTGGATCAAGGTGGCTAGCTGAAATACCCTAAGCAAGCACTGGATCCAAGCGAGAGACCCTGCCTCAGAGTATAAGGTGGAGAATCATCGAGGGAGATACCCAGTTTTGACCTCTGGCTCCCACATCACACATGCACACATGGGCACACACACTCAAATATACACGTGCCTACACACATGCATACCAACACATATACATGCAAAAAAAAGCCAATGACCCCTCCTCAGATGCTGAAGACAGTATGTTCTACACTGGAGATACATGTGCTAACCCACTAAGTGTATGACACCAAGGCTGTCAGCTGGAGTAGCAATTAGATGAGGAAATAACTGTGAACCAGGTCTAGGGTGTATAGTAGATTTTATGCTTCAGGCCATATGTCTTGCAGACTCTATGATGTCTGAAGTCTCTATTATGAGAAAGGATGCTTTGGGGAATTGGCAACAAGCCTCAGTATTTATTACTCACTATAAACCCCTAGAATTATAGAGAAAAAGAATGCTCACTTCCAGGAGAAATATGTTCTGTTTTGGAGAGCACCGCTTGGGGAAGTACTAATCTATGCAAGAGGTAGAGGGCTGGACTATGGTACCTCAACTATCATGTATCCAGACCTGCCCATTGTCTCAACCAAAATCCAAAGGAAGATGGAAGTCGTTCGTTTCCAATCATGATTAAGAGGCCTGAAAGTCACAGCAAGCAACAAAGTCAAGTGGCCTGGACTGATATGTCGTCCATCCTTGAACGAGTTTTTTTTAAATTTAACTTTTATTTTATGTGCATTGGGGTAAAGGTGTCAGATCCCCCCTGGAACTGGGGTTACACACAGTTGTGAGCTGCCATGTGGGTGCTGGGAATTGAAGCCAGGTCCTTTGGAAGAGCAGCCAGTGCTCTTAACCACTGAGCTATCTCTCCAGCTTCACTTGAGCTGCTTTTATGGTTTCATGCATGGGGAGCCTTACAGCAATCTGACAGAAGAGAAAGAAGTGTTGCTCAGTGTGAGATAAAAGATAAAACTAACCACTATTGACTTCAGATCCACTAGGGTATGACCCTAAAAGAGCATTAAAGAAGAATTCTCTCAGTGGGCAGAGCTTAAATGGCTTACCTTTTTATCCATTTCAGCTCTTTGATGGGAAAGTGGAATACAGTAAGAAGGTGAATGGATTCATGGGCACTCATGAACAGGTCAGTGGATTGTCCAGGCATCTAGGAAGAGAAAGATTGAAAGATCACCTATGGATGTTTGGGGCAGGGGGGAAGTATGTGAATTGAATGTAGGCATGTGTACAAAGTGTCAAGATTCCATATTGCATGTAGATAACCATAGAAGACCATCACTATGGAAAGGAACTGGCTCAGCTAACCAACATCAGCTATTCCCTGTGGTTGGCTGCTCTACTTCGGGTACAGGTGGGCATGATCAGAGTAGCTGTGGTAGCAGGGATGGAGACAAGACTACATGTGTCTAAAGCATGGGTTCCTGATATCTAGTGTTGACACAACCTCTGCTGTGTGTGACCAGGATGTGAGCAACAGAGACCAAGCCTGAGCCCTCAACACTGCCGTTCTCAAGGAGACCCATTAGTCTGCTAGCGCCAAGATGACTGTGTATACCCCACCTATAACCATATCTTGTGAGACCGTGGCCATAATACACAGCTTCGTGTTTCTTTCAGGCTCTTTATCATTCTGAATACCCAAAGGCCAGCATAATAACTGGCCCATGGACATTGAATTCCCCCATCACACAAAGTAGTGTACATCTCCTAAAGTAAGTATGGCAATGAGCTCAAGATCGTGGGACCCACCAGGCTTGTCATATTTCCAGAAACTGACAGCCTGTTAGAAAGAACTTTGATGGGTAAAACTCAGATTCTAGCAGGGAGGTAAATCCTATATTAGGCGGCATTTTTCAGGGCTGCAGTTTACACTCAAAATCAAGATCTCCTAGGGTACAGAAACATGCCAAAGGAGGTGCTCCGGTTATTAGTGTGCACTGAACTCTGAAATAACTTGAAATTCTCATTGTGATAACACTGGACCATATGGATTCAGATACCCTGATAAATGCAGGAATATTTTTAGGAAGGAGTCTCTGTGAGAGACAGAAAATTTCAAGCTGTGCCATCTGCATGGGCACTTTGATCTTCTCATGCTAGGTACCCACTGGGCAACGAAAGGAATTAGCATCCTGGTAGAGTTGTTGACTTTGAATGTTGAGAGAAGGTACATTTGCTTTTACATCTCGGGGCAAAGAAGAATATGTTTGGTACCCAGGTAATCCACTAGGATGTCTATTATTTACACTGCCAAAACGGAACCAGTATAGATGAGTGCAGCAGCCACAGCATAAGAAGGGTAATGTGATCATGAGCTTATGCTTCTCAGAAACTGATGACCTCATCAACTAAAGCCCTTGGGCCAGCAGAAGAGCCAGGTGACGGTGCAAGGGCTCTAGGACGACAATGACTGTCAACTGAAGTTTAAGACGACTTTACAGTTTGTGGTTCAACCCATCATGCTTCCTCTTATACTGGGAAAGAGATCAAACAAAGTCCTCTGGAAGCTGCACCCAAATTTTCATTTATAAAAACAATAGATAATAAAATCTTGCACGGTGGCACATTTCTGTAGTCCTATCACTTATGAGACACAGGCAAGAGGGTCAGACACTACACAGGGAGTGTGAAGCCAGCTGGGATATGTGAAACCCTGTCTGGGGGCGGGGGGGGGGGGGCACGAGGAAATGGATGGACTACAGGGCATGCTGCGGTGAGCTACAGTTGAAGAGAATTTGAGTTTATGGTCCCATCCTGGAGAGAAGCCCTAACTGAACAACTAACCCATGGGATAAAGAGGTAATGAAGACCCATTCAAAGCAGTGATGCTAGTTTGTTTCCCATAACATCAGAAACTAAGGAGAAATAGCTAATAGTAGAAGTGATCATGAAGACAGAAGTCATATCCCAGAAACTAGAGATGAGAGTCTAGACAAGTCTCCTGGGCCCAGGCATGGTGGCACACGCAGTTAATCCCAGCACTTGGAAGCCAGCCTTGTCTAGATAGTGAGTTCCTGGACAGCCAGTGAGTTCCTGGATAGTCAGGACTACATGGAGAGGCCCTGTTCCGAAGGGAGGAAGGGAGGGAGGGAGGGAGGGAGGGAGGAAGGGAGGGAGGAAGGAAAGGGAGAAAAAGAGACAGAGAGAGAGAAAAGAAAGAAAGAGGAAGGAAGGAAGGAAGGAAGGAAGGAAGGAAGGAAGGAAGGAAAGAAGGAAGGAAGGAAGGAAGGAAGGTAGGGAGGTTGGTCTTCTGGGATTTACTTCAATGTAATCTGATTAGAAGGAGAAAGAGGAGTGGATGTGACTACAAACAAAAACAGATTATTTTAATCATTATAATTGTAAAGTTGGGTGATAGATACAAAGGAGCTCATCCATATTTTCTCTATTTTAGACATACTTGAAATTTAACAAAACAGAGAGTGGGTATCAGTAAGTCCTGCCTAAGAACCAAATGGAAAACAGCGCTTCCCTTTCCTTCATCCCTGGGGTGCTGTCCGCGGCTCCTTCGGCAGCCCCGAGCAGAACTGGAAGGCAGGCTTAGCCTTATGAGGACGTTCTCATGAGACGCAGAAATAAACAAGGTAATTAGCACGAGGACAGCATCTTTGTGCTATCTTCATGTTGAATTTGCTTTTTATCCCTCCTCTGAGGATGCAGATGGAGCCTTTGGGAGGCACAGCTGATTGCGATCAAAGAAGTACAGTGAAAACCTCACAGGACAGCAGTGAGATCACAGGCTGTGTGCATAAGCTCTGCCTGCACATGCCAACCAACGAGGGAGCAGAAATGCAGTCTCCAGTCTCTCCATCTATCAGGACTCACGGTGTGAAAGCACCACTCTTTCGGGATTCTTTGTGAAATAAGCACTCCTACACCACTGAGCATAGAAGGGAGATGCCACCAGTGGACCAAAGCCAGGTTAGCTCTTGAAAGACTTCCGTCCTGCATTGCTCATGAGAAACAAAATGAGTTTGTATTCTTGTTTCATACTCTAAAACCACAAGGTGGGATGGGCAAGCAAGAAAGACCTTGCAGAAGTATATGTGACAGGCAGCAGGTTGCTAAGGGTAACAACCCATTGTTCAGCTCTTTCTCCAGCTCATTCTGTTCCAGGCAGCAAGTGAAGTTATGCTTGGCAAATAGGCAGTACAAGCAGTGCTCTAGGTAAATCATAAATCAATAAATAAGTATTTAATAACTGAACTTTTCTCCATTACTTCACCACCTGTAAGGAATCTGAAGTCAATTATGTATTCACTGGGTTGGTTTTTGCCAGAGGACCCACAAGGTGCACATGATAATAGCTGATTCATGCAAGATGACTGGGAAGACCTTAGGCAGAAGCTCCACAGTGTGTGGCTAGTTCTGCTTAGGTCACATGTCACACTCTAAATCAACCATTTTCACCAGAAGAGACTGTCCCGATGGCTGGGACCTTGGCTCCTTCCTTAGGCTGAGGATCCAGTCACCCTCAAGTGTGGGAGCCCACAGAGGTTTCCTAGTGAGAGCTGAGCTTGCTTTACCAGCAGGACTGCACAAGAGGATGATTGGACCACGGGCCTGGGTACCAGGTGTTTGGAAGGGTCTGCACTTGGTTGTATCTAGCAAGGGGGAGGTCTTTTCCCTCGCCCCTTGGCATTGTTATAAAAAGCCCTTTTGAATAAAGTTCTGGGCCAGGTAATAAGAATCCGGGCTCTCCCGAGGCTATCCTATGTTTCTGTCTTTTTCTCCCCTCTATCCTTCTATCTAAATCTCTTATCCCTCACTCCTCAAGAGTACCTTGGGGAAAAAGGTGGGGGTGGGTCCCCTACACTCATGTACATGGACTAATCACACATCAGTGGCAAATTTTATTTTTATATTAGAATCAACAGTAGGTGAGAGCTTTAAGGAAACAAGAGGGGTTTCTAGCTTCCTTTCTGTTGCTGTGAAAAATACCATGACCAAAAACCTCTTGGAGAGGAAAAGTTTCTTTCGCCCTATAAGCCACTGCACATCATCCAGGAAAGCCAAGGTAGGAACTCAAGGCAGGAGCCTGAAGGGGAAACTGAAGCAGAAACCACAAAAGAGGGTTTCTCACTGGTTTCCTCTCTCCCTGGGGTGCTTGGCTGCCTGTCTTCTACAACCTACACTCGCTTGTCTTGGGATGGTACCGCCCACAGTGAGCTGGGCACTCCCAACAGCCGTCAATTAAGAAAATGCCTCACAGATATGCCTGCAGTCCAATCCACAGAAGGCTATTCTTCAACTGAAGTCTCCTCTTTCCAAGTGTGTCGAGGTGACAACCAAGATTAGCCACCACAGAGAGATTTTCAGCAGAGGTGTCACCACTCATAAAGGAATTTTGAAACTCTGTGGGAATTTTTCTGACTGACAAATGATTAAAGAACAACTAGTAGAAGGTGGAAGTCAGGAGCCATGGATGCCAAGTCCTGTTGTTTGCAGGAGCATCTGCACGGGGAAGACAGCTGCCCAGCGTCCTGTATAACCATGAATCTAGCCCAACATCAGGACAGTGTTCCCCATGGTAGTGTGACGCGGAATGAGGGATACCAGTGTTGAATGATACACCATCGCCAGCCATCCTGATCCATGCCATATAAACACAAAAAAAAGAAAAATGAAAAAATTGCCTTTAGATCTTAAATAATATGCAAGTCTGTATTCATTTATGAAATAAGCATAGTGACTCATTTTGTCCATCCCACCAAACTAGCGTTTCTGGCCTAAATACCACAATGGCCTTACATCTGGCCTGGTGGTATGATGCATGAGCTTTCAACCAGTCTGCTTGGTTAGAATCTAGGGCCCCATTTCAACATACCAGCCTTAGAGCCCAGGGGTGGTGATGCAGGCCTTTAACCCCAGCACTCAGGAGGCAGAGGCAGAAAGAGCTCTGTGAGTTCAGGCTAGCCTGGTCTACGTATCTATCTCCAAGGACAGCCAGGACTACACAGAGAGACCCTGTGTCTTAGTCAGGGTGATTATTTCTATGATGATACACCATGACCAGAGCAACCTGGAGAGGAAAGGGTTTATTTGACTTACAAATCCACATCACTGTTCATCATCAAAGGAAGTTAGGACAGGAACTCAAGCAGGGCAGGTGGTTGATGGAGGCAGAAGTTGACGTAGAGGCCGGTACTGCTCACTGGCTTGCTCCTCATGGCTTGCTCAGCCTGCTCTCTTCTTATAGAACCCAGGACCACCAGTCCAGGGATAGCACCACCCACAATGGGCTGGACCCTCCCCCATCAATCACTAATTAAGAAAATGCCCTACAGGCTTGTCTGCTGCCCAGTTTTCAAAATTGAGGTTCCCTGCTCTTGGGTAACTTTAGCTTGTGTCAACTTGGCATAAAACTAGCCAGTTCACACTGTCTCAAAAGTAAAAATAAAAAAATACAAACCTGAATCTGCTGCCATTAAACTCTGAACCTAGAAGGGTTTGGTTTCCTACAGCTGAAGACTCTGGATAGTTCTGTTCCCTGTCTCATCTCTCACCTTTTCTGTTCTCAGTGCAAGCAGCAGCCACATGGGTCTCCAGCCTTCTCCTTTCTCAGGGAGCCATGCACCCACGACCTGAAGCACTCTTTCACCCTCTTATAGGCTCCATTAGTGCCTCTTCATACAGGGCTTCTTATAGAATGTGGAAGACAAGTAAAGAGACATGAAAAATATGTTAACAAAATTCATGTCTGTTTAATTACCTCTTTAAAACTAATGCATAAAGAATGTAACGAGCAAGCAATATTGGTGTTAATAGCAAGAATTTTCCACAAAGATGTGAGTACATATATTAAGGTAAGCAATAAATACCAACCAGGATAAATAAGGAGAAATGCATACCTGGGTACATCATAGCAACCTCAAGAACCCCAATAACAGAAAATAGATTTAACAAAAAGAACCAGATTAAAAAAAAAACTTAATTTCCAGCTTTTGAATTACAACTTATGAATAAAAATTATGTATATTTACAGTGTATATGTATATTGTGTTGCTTTAATAGATGTATAGACTGTGGGATCATTACGGCAATAAGATGATTAAATACCCATTGGCTTACAATTATATGAGTATGTATGGTTGGTAAGAACGTTCAACCTATTTTTTTTAAACTCGATTTGTAGACCAGGCTGGCCTCAAATTCACAGAGATCTGCCTGCCTCTGCCTCCCAAGTGCTGGCGCCACCACCGCCCAGCCAACCTAGGTTTTTTAAAAAACAATTTCATGTATACAGTGCAGTGTCAGCTACAGTCTTCAGACATTAGATATTGAAATTTCAACTCATTTCCTCCAACATCCCAGCCTCGGAAACCACGGTCACACTCTGCCTTTCTCTATAAAGTATCTCTCTTTTTTTTTTTTTTTCAAATTCACAGAACCTAAAGTCACCTGGGAAGAGGGACTCTCAATTGAAGACTCACCTTGATCAGAGTGGCCTGTGGACATGTCTGTGAGAGGTTGTCTGGATTGATGATTGATATGAATAGCCCAGTCCACTATGGGTAGCACCATACCTAGGAAGGAGGGCTTTGGCTCTATCAGAAAGGTAGCTGGGCAGCAGCCAGAGAGCGGGCCAACAAACTGCATTCCTTCATGGTTTCTGCCTCAAGTTCCTGCCCTGCTTGAGTTCCTGCCTTGACATCCCTCAGCAACAGACTGTGACCAGGAAGGCTAAGCTGGTAAAAACCCTTCCCTTCCTAAGGTGCATTCAGAGTATTAATCGCAGAACAGAATAAAATAGGCTAACATGTATCATATCGTGCAGTGTTTGTCCTTCTGTGCCTTGATTACCTCACTTAGAATTATATCTTCCAAGATCGCCTATATTGTCATAGATGAGATTATTTTCCAAGGCTGAGTAACATTCCGCTGTGTATGAAGTATACTGTATACATACACACATTTCCTTCATCCGTTAATCTGTGGGTGAACAAAGGATGATTTCTATATCTTAGCTATTATCAGAGTACAGCTATCTCCTCAGCACACAAACTTCATTTCTTCAGGGTCTACACCCAGGAGTGCTGTGGCTGGTTCACACAGCAGCTCCACTTTTAATGACTTACCATTCTCCATCACTGCTGTGCCAATTTGTATCCCCCGACAACTGTACAGCAGTTCCCTTATTAGTCCATCCTCACCAACAGTTACCTTTAACATTGTTTTAATAACAGGTGTGAGGCAATATCTCATAATGGCTTTCATTCTAATTTCCATAATGATTAAAGATGTTAAAAATGTTTATATACGGGAGTCATTTATATTCTCCCCCTTCCTGTGTCTCCCCTTTCTCTTCCTCCTCTTTTATTGAGTGAACCCAGGGACTCACAATTGCAAACCCTCTACCACTTAGCTACATCCCTGGACTTCTGTGTTATCTTTTGGAAAACATCTCGTTTTTTAAATTGTATTACTTTCTCACCGCTGTAATATTTAAATTTTACCTATATTCTAAATATTAATCCCATATAGGCTTCTAGTTTGCCCATTCTTTTTCTGCATGTTGTCTCCACTCTCTTTGTAGTGCAGAAGAATTTTAGTTTGATACAGTCTCATTTGTCTGTTTGTTCTGAGTTTGTTTGTGGGTTCATATCCCTCCAAAAAAAGATTTCCCAGGGGGCTAGAGAGATGGCTCAGCAGTTAAGAGGATTGGCTGCTCTTCCAGAAGACCTGAGTTCAATTCCCAGCGCCCACATGACAGCTTACAACTGTCTGTAGCTCCCATTCCAGGGGATGTGGCAAACTCACAGACATAAATGCACTAAAATAAAAATACATAAATTGTTTTTAAAAAGATTGCCCAGACCAATGTCAAAAAGCATTTTTCATAAATTAGCTTTCAATAGGATTTCAGCTCATACATTTTGACTTTATCCATTGTAATACTTGAAATTTTTACACAGTATGAGGAAAAACTCCAATTTTGTTCTTCTACATGTGTATATCAAATTTTTTCAGTAAATTTAATTGAAGAGAATATTTCTCCACTGACTCTGCTCAGTTACTTATTTAAAATTAGTTGACTACAGCCCAAGTATTTAATTCCAACACTTGGGAGGCTGAGGCAGGCAGATCTCTATGAATTTGAGGTCATCCTGATCTACATAGTGAATTCGAAGCCATCTAGGGTTACACAGTAAGACTCTATTTCAAAAAAAAGAAAAAGAAAAAAAGAAAGAAAAAAAATTAATAATGACTGCTTTGGGGCCTGGAGAGTTGGCACAGTGGTTAAGAGGACTTGTTGTTCTTGCAAAGGACCCAGGTTCAAATCCCAGCAGGCACATGGAAGCTCCCTGCCTCCTCAGGTACCAGGCATTCATATGTACACAGACATACATGCAGGCAAAGCCCTCACACACAAAATAATAAAATAAATTTTAAAAAATTATTGCTTTGAATCTATGGATCCTTTTGGGTAGTATAGACAATCCAATTCCAATCCAATTCATATGTCATTTGTTTGTGACTTACTTTCTGTCTTCAAGTTTTAGGTTACCCATCAAGCCTTTATCCAGGCCAGGGATGTAGCTCACTTGTATGATAGAGCTCTGGCCTCAAACACACAAGGCCTTAGACCAACCCCCAGCCCTGGGAAAGAAACCCTCTTGTCTTTTTGATTAAATTTATTTCTACAATTATTTTAATGTATTATTGTGAATGGAATTTTTTTTCTTGATTTCTCTTTCTGATAATTCATTGTTGTTGTAGAGTTTACAATGATTTGAGTATGTTTGTTTACTACAACTTTAGAGAACTTAATCATTAGTTCTAACAGGTTTGGGAAAGACAGCCTGGATGTAAAGTCTTGTTGCAGGCAGTGGCTCTTAGAGTTTTGGGAGATTTCTCAGTAGCAACAACGATGGAGTCCGGGTGGCAGAATCAAATATTTCAATGATAACTGCAATAACTATCAACCTAAAAATACCTTTCAAGAACAAAAGCAAAATAAGAATATTTCTAGGCAAAGCCTGACAGTTTATCACTGGCAGATCCTCTGTGGAGCCTAAAGACAGTAAAAGGTGACTCATAATGCGAAATTTGATTAAAGCTGTGGTGGCACATACCTTTCATCTCAGCACTCAGGAGGCTTTCTGTGAGACCAGCCTGGTCTACATAGCGAGTTCCAGAATAGTCAGGGCTATGTAGAACTCGACCCTCTCACACACACACAAAAAAAGCTGGAAATGTAGGAAAACACCACAGAATTAAAAGAACTGAAAGCAGTTATCTTTCTATGGCTATCTAAGTCCACTTTACTGCCAAACCAAGTCACAGACTGACTTGGGACTTTGGTCATCTAAGAACATGCAACCAAACTTCTGAAATGAATCTTTATCACTTTAATTGGTTTATCTTTCCCTGTTCATATTTACTTGCTAAATTAAAGCTTTAATGTGAAAGGCAAGATTTCAAAACATTAAATATGGAAGTTGTTCATGACCTTGAGGTTAGGAAATGTTCTTTGAAATAAGACACAAAGACCGTGATGGACAAGTGTTGTCAACTGTCACTTGGGCATACCTGTGAGGGGTTGTCTAGACTAAGGTTAGCCTCTTAGACTGGGGACAGTCCCCAGGGGAGGGGAGCTTGTGCTGTGGAGGTAGGAGCAGTTGGGCTGAGAACTAGCGTGCATGTGCTCACTGTTCTGTCTGAAGGCAGTAGTGTGACCAGCTCCCCATCCCTCTTACCAGCTAGTCCCACTTCTATTCTCATACCTCCCTTCTTTCTCCCTCCTTTCCCCTCTTCCTTCATTTATGGTCCAGTGAGTGTTGAGACTGTTTACATGAGCACAGATGGGGTTATTTCCAACAGCATAGGTAACTCACCAGTGGCTATACCAGTAAAGAATATTTCTTTCCGCCAATCAGTAGCTAGCCTGAAGATCCTCAGAGAGAAGTGAGGCCTTGTGAGCCCCTCCCCTCCCCCAGCAACTGTTAACTGCTCATCCTCAGGGAAGGGCGAGGCCTCATGAGTCCCTTCTTCCCTCCATGATGGAAGGTAATAGACCCGATCTTGTGCAAGTCTAGTACAGATAATCAGCAACTGTGAGTTCATGTGGGCAACGGCCATGCCATACTAGGTACAGAGCACTCCATAAGTTGTTCTCTGACTTAGACACACACACAACACACACACATGCACACACGCACACACACACACACACGTGTATATGCACACACATAATTTTTACTAACAGAAAAAGCTTAAAAATCTAAAAATAATACAAATGTTCTTCAATAGTAAAATTATAAGTAATACAGATATATTCAAATGATGTTATCTTATACCCCGAACATAATACAGCTATATACATCAACACAACAAAATCTCAGGAATTCTCTATTCAGAAAAAAAACTAGTCCTATAATACACACAATAATAGTATGTTTTGTTAAGCAAACTAAAAACGTGTAGTTTGTAGGATTACACACAAATGTGGGGAAACATCTATGAAAGCATGGAGACGGTTTTGTCACACTAAATTTAGAAACGTGTTTGTAACTGTAGACGCAGGCAAAGCGGCACATAAGGACTGCTAAGATGTTAACATCGTATTTTTGACATGACTTTGTTATGATTTAGACCTCGAAATGTTCATGTGTTGAAAGATTGGTACCCTGCTATTGGGAGATGGTGGAAACTTCAGGAAGACGGATCAACTAGGAGGAGATACAGTGGGGTGTGCATGTAAGGGGATATTGGAGCCCTGGCTCCTTCTTGTCTCTTAATCAATTTTTAATAAACTGTTACCTATTCTTGTAGTTGCTTGGAAGGGCTCAAGAGCTGTAGTGGTAGAGGAGCCCAAAGAGGCTTAGCAGGAGGGCTGCCAAGAAGACAGAGTCAAAGGTGAACAGCAGGAGCCAAGGATGGATTCCCTGTGAGGTTGCCTGAAGCTCTGAGTCAGACGTCTCTAGGAGTCCTACTGAGAGCAGCCGCTGAGTAAACACACAAGAATACACAGCAGCAGCAAGATAGGGACAGATCAGGAGACACAGAGCTTTGGGCAGGAGGCAGGAAAGGGGCCAGGCCTGCCTCTACAACGCTGCCCTAGCTTTTCAGTGTAAGAGCAGATTCCCAGGAAGCCACAGAGTGCAACCTCAAGACCCCCACATGGAAGAGTCAGGTTCACCTAGAGCTTTGTGGTACCACTCCAACCTGTGCAAAAGAAAAGTATGAGTGAGTTGTTTTGTGAAAGGTCAGGACATATATAGCAAGAAAAGAAAGCAGTCAGTCTACAAAATCCCTGAAGCCTTCAGGAATGGGCAATTGTACCTGGTATGTAAAAATCCCAGTGTTGAGGCTGTAGAGATAGCTCAGCAGTTAAAGAGAGCTGACTGGTCTTGCCAAGGACCTGGGATGAGTTCCCAGCATCCACATGATGGCTCCTAACCATCTGTAACTCCAGTTCCACATAATCCAATGCCTCTTCTGACCTCCAAGAGCTTCTGAACAAACGTGGTGCACGTACACACACTCGGGCACACATATATGCACATAAAATATGTATTTTTTGGTGTGCAGCAGCTTTGGAGTGCAGCAATAGTCTAGCACTTACAAGGTCCTAGGTTCAGTCTCCAGCACTACAGGAAAGAGCTCAGGACCCCTAAGAGCTCAGGACCCATAAGAACCCCAGTACCTTGAATGAATGAATAAGTAAATAATTAAATAAATAAATAAAGCGTCTCCCTGTTAGGAGTTCTTGTTAGGGGAAAGAATGAGCAAATACAGAAGATGCACGAAAAGAATTTATTCTCTACAAGATCACCTCCATTTTCCAGCTGGTCTTGCATATTTATATCAAGTGTGTTCATCATCTATACAGTTTCACAACCTTTCTTTGCATGTAAAATACAAGTGGGGTTTACTGGAGCTGGTAAACACACACCTTGCATAACCATTAGGGGTGCCAAAACTTACAATTTTAACATAGTGCATTAAACAAATCCCTCACTTTAGGCTGTTTGGGATTGATATTTATGGTCTTTTAGTGCTTATGAAAACCTAGTAAACCAAAATGGAAACACTTGCATTTCTCTAGTTACTTTACTTTACAAATTTCTAAAAGATAGGATACTTAGTTAAAAGAGATGCATTTTGAAGAATTGATGGGGTCCTTTGCCAGTTGCCCAGCACAAGCTTTACTTTCCAGCCAACTGCCTACAAATGTGTTTACTTGCTCTGACTTTCAACCATGTCTTTGTCATGTTTCACACTGTTTTCTGTTGATTTACATGTCTTAGCACTAGGGAAACAAACTACATTTTTGAGTATTCTGAATTTTCAATATGAAAGAAGTAAAATGAATAAGCCTTGCTGAGTGGCAAGATGTGAGGTGGAAGAAAGCAGAGCATGGGATTCATGTACTGGGGTGAGTTGGTCTCTGGTAACTGGCATCTGAAAGAGACAGTAATGGGCGGGATGTGGTGGTTCATGCCTGTAATTCCAGCACGATGAGGTAATTGCAGACTGAAGTAGGATTACCCTCAGTTCCTGGTCAGCCTGGGCTACAGTTTAAGATCTTGTTTTAAAAATAAAGAGGGGTGGAAAGAGAGAGAGGAAGGAAGGGAATAAACATCAGCAATGGAAAAATGTACAAGCAAGTTTAGGCAATGATACTCTGGGCAAGGGGGGCTTGAGGCATTAGAAGGAATATGGTGGGGATGTTCAGTGAACAATTTCATACCCAGGGGCTGGGAAGTCAGTCAGGTTCATGTGAACTCAGGGCTGGAGGCAGGTCTGTGACTCAGCACACAATCTGTTAAAGAGTCTGGTGAGCTGCAGAAGGGGCCATGAGTGGAGGAGCAGTGGATCTCACAGACCAACCCACAGAGCAGAAAGACTAGGAGGGAATCAGCCTTCAAAGGCAAATGTCAGCCATTACAGTCAGCAGAATCTTTTTATTTTTAATTTAAAAAAATTTTTTTTCATTTTACATACCAACCACAGTGTCCCCTCGTTCAGTTCCTCCCCCATCTCACCCCCCATCCACTCCTCAGAGATGGTAAGGCTCCCATGGGAGTCAACATCTGGCATATCAAGTTGAGGCAGAACCAAGCCCCTCCCTGCTGCATCAAGGCTGAGCTAGGTGTCCCTCCATAGGGAATGGGCTCCAAAAAGCCAGATCATGCACTAGGGATAAATGATGGTCCAACTGCCAGGGGCCCCACAAACTGCCCAAGCCACACAACTGTCACCCACATTCAGAGGGCCTAGTTCGGATCAATTCTCCACCCTGAAGTATAAATGGTAGTGAAAGTGGATTCTTTGACTTAATTATTTTTTACTATGGTAGATAAATTTAAGTATAAAAATAAGAGACTTTAATGCTTTAAATGTGACTCAATTTCTTAAATGTCACTTTCCTCATTTAATTGACCTCAGTGCTAAGGACCAACAGTGGGGTTATGTGGGTGAAGAAATTCAGCATCCCTCAACAACCTGGTCCAGCTTGTGAGTCCACTCAATCTTACTCAACAGCTTATTTGGCACTGATCATGTAATACATCACCAAAGCAGCTAAGGAAAATGTACTTAGTACTATCAGGCAGGTAGCAATCTACCAGAGAAGGTAAAGTAGATGCTGTGCTACATTCCAAAGGAAGTACTAATAAACAAAACCCAATACATGAAGAACTAGGTAAACCCAGGAAATCACTCTCTCACTGCACCGAGTTATAAAACACACGGTCCTGGAACTCATGTTTCCTTCTCCTCTGTGCCTCTGCCTCCTTAGGAAGTTTTCTTCCTTAAAAAAGAAAACAGCACACACCTTTAATCCCCGTACTAGGAAGACAAAGGCAAAGGGATCTCTATGAGCTACAGGGCAAGCAGGTATGCACAGTGAGTTCCAGGCCAGCCAAGACTACATAGTGAGACCCTGACTCAAAACAAACAAAACCAAACATGAAACAAAGACAGACACTGGTAGACTTCATAAGCTTGCTGGGCTGCCTTAGCAATTTACTGCTATAGCCCAGGATGCTTTAACTCAGACATGTACTTCTTCATAGTTCTGGGGACTAGAAACCAGACAACAAAATGCAGGGAAGTCTAGTCCCTTCCAAGAACCTCTGCCCTTGGCTTACAGCTGTTAGTCAGCCTCTGCCTTTCTTCCCTGGCCAAGCATCTGTGCAGATCTGTGTCCCAATCTCCTTCTCATAGGGATATCAGTCATATCAGATTAGAACTCATCCATGTGACCTCAACTGACCTGGGTCCTCTAAAGACTTTATGTCCAAATACAACCATGTTCTTAAGCTCAGGGAATTTCAACATAAGAATTTGAGTGAGACACCATTCAGTCCCATAACATGTGTTAAGAATTCAATGAAAAATTCTAAAGAAATCAGTAGCTATTAACTCCACAGTTCCCATTAGAGGGCTCCTTGGAAGCCCTGGAGACTAAGGAGCTTGAATGGGCCAGGCTCTGTCAGGTCATAAAAGGGGCACAGATGTGGTCATTAAACACTGAAGTCAGAGCTCACAGAAGCCCACCTGAGGTGGAAAAGAGGCCGGAAAGAAGCCATTCCTAGCCTGGCTCTGGGCGGTGAAGGGAATGGGGCAGCAGGCGCCTGCTGTGCTGTATGTACCTAGAATTGAGGGCTGCCAATATAAATGTGGTCTGTGGAATAGAAGGCAGGACTACCAGCTCATCTCTTCTGTGAGTACCTCCCTGGAATAAGCTCTACTGCTGCTGCTACAAGACAGGAGAACCTACCTGATGTCTCCACACTAGGGAGCCTCCTCCAGTCAGGGTGGGGCCTGCAATAGAGGAATGATTATCATGGACTCTATGGGCCCTTGGTGCCCAGGCAGTGTAACCCAGGGCTGGGGCTCATCCTGTGCCTTCAGTTTGTCAGCAGCATTCGTAGAGGCCAAACGAGGAATACCCAGGAAGCAGGTCAGCTCAGCTTTAGTGTGCCTGCTCAGAAGAAGAGTCTCATTCTCAGTAAGAAACACAGAAAGTAGAAAATCAGATTTTCCCAGAAGCCTGCAGGAAGCTTTTGTGGCTGCTGTATCAAAGTTGCACAAACATGGCAGCAGTGATAACTTAATCTACACTGTCCTAAAGGCCTGAAGTTCATAGTTCAGGCACTGGTAAGGTCACTCACTGCCTTGAAAGGGCCTGGAGAATGGCTACAATTTAAAATGCATGAATTCCATTGTACCTCTTTTTTTTTGGTCATCAAAAGAATGGGAAACTACAGTTACCAATCTCAACAAACACCAGTCACATCTCAATGAAGAATTTAACTGAGAAACTGAAATTGCACACACTGCACAAAAATACTGTTACCTTTTCCTCTGGTTTTAAAAAATAAACTTGAAGCATAAGCAGCTCAATGGGTTATTAACATATCTAAATTAGACAATGACTCCATAGGTATTTTAAAGTGAGAACAATTTAGGCTAAAGGAAACTTGGTCCTGTGTTTCATTTCTTTTCACAACTTTCACCTATTTTTATAACTTTAAAAAAAATTCTTTAATATTCCCTATGCAGAAAAAAAAAGTTACTACACTGAGACAACCTTACTGTTTGCAGTTGAAAGGAAACTACTACTCCAACTTAAGTATAGGAACTAGTCAATACTTCAACTAATGGCAACTTCAAAGTTATTATCAGGATAGAAATAGGGTCTATCAGCTTTATAGAAGCAAAATTATTCTACTATTTTGAAATACGACAGAAATAATATCTAAGTGCAATGAATATTAGAAATACTAAGAGTATGAACAATCTTTAAAGCCTAAATGGCCATAAATAGGGAAAAAGTTAACTAAACACCTGGTAAGATTATGATTGGACTTCAATTCTCACACGACTTGTTGAAAGAAAAGAGGTAAATATTCTAGTGTCTAAATAACCTTGATCAGATCAAATTTATAAAAAAAAAGGGGGGGAGGGGATGGGGGAGAGAAGGTGAATGCAGGGGGGGAGAGAAGGTGAATGCAGGAGGGCAGCAGTTTCCACCATCAAATTTATATCTTACAATAAGCTTTAAATTAGAAAATGCCCTACCAGGAGTAACCAAAAGCAAACTATAATCACCCCCAAAGGCTAAACTGGGTAAAGATAAGGTTGGTTGTTCTCGGCTCTAGTTATGTTGGCCTCTTGCAAAATGACAGGCAAAATCGTACTTGTTTTTACAATTGTGTCCACATATGTTACACTGAAAAGGATTGTCATACCCATGGCATCCCATGTGAATAGTGTAAAGGACATTGTCTGCAAAGTACGTGTCACAGTGCTGGCAATGGTACAGCAGCTGAGGGTCCTCCATCGGCAAGGTTAGGGCCGGAGTGCTTGGCTGGCTGTTTCCAAAGATGGAGGTGCTAGTGCGGCCACTCGGCTGGCTGCTGGGCCCTGCAAATGGACTGCAGTCCCTCTGACTAAATGGTGGGAGTTGAGGCTCCAGGACTATGGGGGAGCTCTGTGGGGTCCTCCCTTGGGCAGAGGGCTGTTGAATCATGAAAAGATTTTCCTCCAGGCTGGAGTCTCCGTCAGGGGAGGCCAGGTTTTGGTTTTCAGGTGGCAACCTAGACAAGAGTCCTGCGAGAGTAGACATCTGATTCAAAGGACTGTCCACAAGCAAGAGCTCTTCGGGGTCCCTCGGCAGCCCGCACACATTGGCTTTACCCATACTGCCGTAGAAGTCGTTCCGAACACTCGGGACCTTGTGCGTAAAATCACCGGGGTGGTCCGGTTTCTGAAGGACCACGGAAGGTGGACCTAAGGCGATGAGCAGCCCTCGTTTGCCCTCCTCCACGTGGCTTTTACCCTGCGGGCTCCCCCACGTTTTCATGCCGGTGAAGGAGGCCCGGGGCGCGGTCAGCGGCAAGAGCTTGTGCCTGCGCCGTCGATGGTGGGCCAGGTTGCTTCTGTAGTTGCAGCGATAGGCGCACAGCTCGCACTTGTACGGCTTCTCCCCGGTGTGCGAGCGCATGTGGGCCTCGAGGTAGCGCTCGTAGGCCGAGGCGAAGGGGCAGAGGCGGCAGCGGTGCGGCTTCTCGCCCGTGTGCACGCGGGTGTGCTCCACCAGCCGCTCCGTCCGCTCGCTGGCGTAGCCGCAGTACGGGCACTGCCGCTTCCCGTCCCAGGTCCTTTCCAGGTCGCCCAGCATCAGCACCGGGGTCCCGTCCAGGGCCTCCCCGGGGTCTCCGGGGCCTCGGGCCGGCCCCGCCAGGTCCCACCGCTCAGCGCCCGGCCCGCTCAGGCGCTCCCTCCACCTGCTGCCCCGCTGCTTCCGCTCCTGCCCGTGGACGGAAGTCACTTCCTCTCGGGCCTACTTCCGTCCGCCTCCTCCCGGAGGCCGGCCTTCACGACAACGACGTCCCCGGGTTCTCCTCGGGCTGCCCACCCCGGGTCGCTTCACCCTTCTGCCGCCCCCCACCCCAGGGACAGCGTCGGGAGCCCGGGGGAATCCTCCTGAGACACGCGCAGAGGAGCTCCCAAGGCCTGGCCCCGCTCAGCCTGTGCCCACCATATTGGCTTCTTCCCAGCTCCGGCAGACCCAAGTCTCGCGAGAGTTATTAGGAGGGGGCGGGGCCGGACGATGACGACGATGCCACGCCACACCTATTGCAGGCCACATGCCGTGCACGTGTGCGGGCATGGTGGTGGCCGGCTCCACGGGGAAATGTGGCGGACGGGCACACTGCGTTGGTCATCGCTGGACTTTATCTGCCTTTCCAGCCCCGATCACTTAGTTCTCTCGCCTTCCACGGCTCCCAGCAGCATCCCAGGCTCTGGAGGCTTGGTGCAGAGCCCCGTCTTGCCCACGGTGGACCTGCGTGGGGCTTAGCAGCGGGGGGTCACCAATGGAGAGAGAGGAAAGCAGGGATGGACCGTGCTGCGTACCAGCTTTGAACCCCTCCTGTTCCTGACCTTGCCTGTCTGCCGCCTTCTCCCATCCCCTGGGTGCTCATCGCCTCGCTTCTTGATTCTCCATCGAGAAATGTTTATAGACTTATGAGTCCTCTCTCCACCTCTCTAACTCAGCCAGCTCCCATTTTGCTTACAGCCTCTAAAAGTACCGTGAATGTGTCCGATGCCCCTCTATTCTTTTTGTTTTTGTCTTCGTTGTTTACACCTTTTGTTAAAATTACTTTCCATCATTTCCTGGGGGTTTGGGGAGGGTATGGAAACTGTTAATTGTGTGTTTGTGCCTGTTTAAATGGAAGTCCCTAAAAGAAGCTTTAGTTGTGTGTGTGGGGGGGGGGAGAATGGGGAAGAGATCTGAAAAACATTAATGATTAAACTTTATTCCCTCTCATTAGAAAAAAGCTTTGCTTTTAATCCGGTCATTAAGTTTTGCTGAATAAAAGAACTCAATCAAGAGCATTCATGACCACATTTGGATTTCATCCACCCACATGTATGCAGGGACTCAGAAACTAACCAAAGTACCCCGGCATAAAGTAAAACGAGCTATGACTCCTAGCATTTGAGTGCACACCATGATGTGTAGGTTGTTCAGGCACAAATGTTAACTTACATAGAGACATAAACTGACATGATGAATGCATGACTTTCCATCTCCAGTCCATCACTGTGGAGTGGAACCACCTCTCCTGAAGTAAACTTTAGCAGTGGAGGCATCCCACACTTTTAAAATGCATCGAAGTCTCTATTCATCTAAACAAATAAAATCGTAAGCTTGAACTTTGAGATCTCGTGTTTTTTTCCAGGCCTCAGAAACATGCATCATCCCCTAAAGTGGTGGTTCTCAACCTTCCTAATGCTGCCACACTTCAATACAGCCCCTCAACAGTGACCCCAACCATAACATTTAGTTGCTACCTCATAACTGTAATTTTGCTACTGTTATGAATTGTAATATAAATATCTCATAGGTGGGATATCTGACATGCGACCCCTGTGAAAGGATCATTCAACCCCCAAAGGGGTCGTGACCCACAGGTTGAGGACCACTGTCTTAAAGGACTATTCCCTAGCTCAGATTAGACATTCAGGGAATGAGAGGACCATCAGTTCTCAAAGACTGGTACACCTGTGGCTGGTGGGATGATCTGGGCTTTTTCCCTTACCTCTGGTCCTCACCATCCCATCTCCTGAAGCAGAAGAGTGTGTGTGAGTCCCTGCCTGCTTCTGCTCAGAACCGACTTTGGTGTTTGTGGTGTTTTTAATGAAAATGGCCTCCATGGGCCCATAGGGAGTGGCTCTATTAGGAGGCATCGCCTTGTTGGAGTAGGTGTGGCCTTGTTGGAGGAAGTGTGTCACTGGGGGTGGGCTTTGAGGTTTCAGATGCTCAAGCCAGGCCTAGTGTCACTCTCCTTGCTGCCTGTGGATCCAAATGTAGAACTCTCAGCTCCCTCTCCAGCTCCATGTCTGCCAGCATGCCGCCATGCTCCCTGCCGTGATGACAACAGAATGTAACCTCTGAACTGTAAGCCAGCCTCAATTAAATATTTTCCTTTATAAGAGTTTCTGTGGTCATGGTGTCTCTTCACAGCAATAGAAACCCTAACAAAGACAGTGTTTTAAAGAAACTTGCTGTGTGATAAGATGATGGAGCAGAAATCATGTCATATTTATGTATAAGTAATTAGAACTTAACGTATATTGATGGTTTTTTTTTACTCTGATTTTCTTTAGCATTTATTTGTTGGGGGGACATGTATGGAGGTGTCTTAGTTAAGGTTTCTATTGCTATGATGAAACATCATGACCAAAAAGCAAGTTGGGAAGGAAAGGGGTTATTTGGCTTACACGTCCACATTGCTGTTCACCACTGAAGGAAGTCAGGGCAGGAACTCAAACAAGGCAGGAACCTGGAGGCAGGAGCTGATGCAGAGGCCATGGAGAGGTGCTGCTTACTGACTTGCTTCACATGGCTTGCTCAGTCTGCTTTCTTATAGAACCCAGGACCACCAGCCCAGGGATGGCACCACCCACCATGGAATGGGCCCTCCCCCATCAATCATTAATTGAGAAAATGCCTTAGATCCGGATCTCATGGAGGCATTTCCTCAACAGAGGTTCCTTCCACCCTGATGACTCTAGCTTGTGTCAAATTGGCACATAAAACCAGCCAGCACAGGAGGTCAGAGAGCGACTTGCAAGAGTTGGTTCTTGGGTCTGGAGAGATGGCTCAGTGGTTAAGAGCACTGACTGCTCTTCCAGAGGACCTGGGTTCAATTCCCAGCATTCACATGGCAGTTCACAACTGTCTGTAACTCCAGAATCCAACACCCTCACACAGACATACATGCAGGTAAAACACCAATCACATTAAATAAAAATAAATAAAATTATTTTTTTTAAAAAGAGTTGATTCTTTCCTTCTGCTATGTAAGTTCCAGAGACAGAACTCAGGATGTCAGTCTTGGTGACAAGTACCTCTACCTACTTAAGCCATCTTGCCAGACCTTTTCTTCTTATTGAAATATCTGCTCACATTTCTTGGCTACTGAGATATTCACACGTTTTATTGATTTATAAGCTGTCTTTATTTAAAATATGTAAGATGTGATGGTGTGAATGAGAATGGCCCCTATATGTCATATATTTGAATACTTGGTCCCCAGGTGGTAGAACTGTTTGGGAAGGATTAGGAGGTGTGGCTTTCTTGGAGGAGGTGTCCAACACTGAGGGTGGGCTTTGAGGTTTCAAAAGACCATTCTCAGCTCTCTCTGCTTCATGCATGTGTCTCAGGATGTGAGCTGTCAGCCACTACTCCAGTGCCATGCCTCCCCGCCTGTGGCCAGGCTCCACACCATGGTGGTCACGGACTCACCTCCTGGAACTGTAAGCTTCAAATAAACATTTTCTTCTGTAAGTTACCTTGGTCATGATACCTCATCACATCCATAGGACAGTTACTAAGACAAAAGGAAAAGGCCTCTATGAAGAAAGGGAAAAACAAGAGAAACACAGACCCTCAGGTCCAAAATGGCAAGACAAACCCAAACATAACAAAAAGGGGGAAAAATCATACAAAAATAAAGATAAATCAGAAGATTAAACAAGGAATAAGGGAATACAGAAAGAGCAACAACAAAAAAAAAAACATAAATGAGGAAATCAGATCACTGAACTAGAAATTAAAAGTTTTAACAGTTGGCCATGGTGATGTACAACTTTAATTTCAGTACTCCAGAGGTAGAGGCAGGTGGATTTCTATTGTTTTTAAGCCAAACTGATCCATATAAATTTTCAGGATAGAGATACACAGAAGCACCCTATCTCAAAATAAATATATAAAATTTAAAGGATTAAGAAAGAGGTGAAAGATATCCAAGAATTTGCAAGACCATGTCTGCATGGTTACATGTTCCTTTCTGTCATGCGCATAGTGACACTGACAGTGAAACAGAACACATATGCAAAGATATGATGAAAAGAAGTGCGTGTGCTGTTATTTTATAAGTGCCAATAAGACAAAAATATAGACCTTGACTATATCAAATGCATAGAAGGCAACAAAACCCAATTATATAATGAGAGAAAATACACCAAGAGTGGAATTCCACATAAAGTGGTATCACAGGGTGTGTTTGTTAATTGTTAAATGAAAATAGGGGCATGCTGTGGAAGAAGAGGTGGAAACAGTGTAAGAGCCAGTGGGGATGGAGGACACCAGGAAAAATTAGGCCCTCTGCATCAACTGAGCAGGGCCCATATGAGCTCACAGAGAATGAGGCAGCATGCACAGGGCCTGGAAGGTCCTGCGAGTATATATTATACTACCAGGTCCTCTGAGTATATATTATAATTTTCAGCTTAGTATTTTTATGAGACTCTTGACTGAGTGTGTGAACGAGTGGGTCTCTGATTCTCATGCCTGTTGTTAGAATCTTAGATGGTCTTTTAATAAAAAACCCAGAGCCAGAAAGCAGGGTGAAAGCTGAAAGATCAGAGAAGCAGAACAGCCAGCCACTAGATCTTACCTCTATGAAATCCTCAGCTTAAAGAGAATGAATTCCTGTTTCCTCACACCTTATATACTCTTCTCTGCCCTGCCATATTACTTCTTGGGATTAAAGGCATGTGTGCTTCCCAAGCAAAGGCATGAGATCTTAAGTGCTGGGGTTAATGGGGTGTGCTACCACTGCTTGACCTCTATGTCTAATCCAGTGGCTAGCTCTGTTCTCTGGTCCTCAGGCAATTATTAGGGTACACAAAGTGTCACCACATGTGCCTTCTCTTGGGGCTCTTTTCCTTCTGTTGGGTTGTCTTGTCCAGCCTGGATGTGATGGGTTTTGTTTTATTATATTTATCATAAACATGACAAAGTGAACTATAATAAGATAAAGAAGCTGTGATAAAGTACCATGACCAAGGTAACTCACAGAAAGAAGGGTTTATTTGGGCCTATGGTTCCAGAGGTTAGAGGTCATGATGGTGGTTGTAGACAAGGCAATAGGAGCAGGAGGCTGAGGGCTTATGTCTTGAACTACAAGCGCAAAGCAAAGAGAATGAACTGGAAATGGTGTGAGTCTTTTCCACCTCTCCTTATCCTTCCTAAAATAGTTCAACCAACTGGGAACCTAGTGTTATAGTCTCAACTGCCTGAGACTATAAGGAACTTCTCACACCCAAACCACCGCATTCCACGCTCTGGCCTTCATAGGCCTGGTGACTATATCACAGTGCAGAATACATAGTCCAACTTCAAAGTCATCAGCAGCCTTTTACAGTCACAACACTGGTTTTAAATACAAACTCCTTTCTGAGACTCAAAGCAATCTCTTAATTATCACCCCCTGTGAAATCAAAAGGCAAATTACATACTTTCAACATGAAGTGGCACAGAATCTACATTATTGTTCCAAAAGGGAGGAATGGGGGCATTATGAAGAAATACTGGACCAAAGCAAGGCAAAAACCCAGCAGTCAAATCCCAAATCCTGTAGCTCCGTGTCTGATGTCAAAAGGCTTAGATGGCTCTCCCTTAGGCTAGTTCCTTAACAGACGTCCCACAGCTCTCCAGGGCATCACAGGTTTCACTTTCACAGCCTCATGCAATGGCCTCTCAGCACCTCTTGCTCTCAGGTTTTCATACAAGGACACCACTGCCATATCCGTCTTGTCATTGGCAGCCCTCTGAAGCCATGGGGAAAGATCCCATGACCCCTTCTCTTTTATGACTCTAAAACTAGCACCATGTGGACAAAACTGCTGGATTCAGCTACCAATTTGGGATGGACCCAGGCTCCTTTGAATCACGTTAG